GAGAGGCGGAGAGAGAGAGAAGAGGAGAGAGAGTAGAGAGAGAGAGAGAGCGAGCGAGAAGAGAGAGAGAGAGAGAAGAAAGAAGAGAGGGAGAGAGAGACGGGAGAGAGAGAGAAGAGAGAGAGAGAGAGAGAGCGAGATAGATATACAGACAGACAGATAGACAAACAAACAGACAGATAGACAGACAGAACAGACGATCGACGGACGGACGGACGGACGGACGGATGGACGGACGAACAGATAGATAGATAGATAAAATACGATAGATAGATAGATAGATAGATAGATAGAAGATAAATAATAGAATATAGAGTAGAGTAGATACGATAGGTAAATAGGATAGATAATCGATATATAGTATATAGATAGATAGATAGTAGATATATAGATAACATAAGACACTAATTAAGTAGACAGAATATCAGGCTAGACAAATAGACAAATAGACAGATACGACAAGATAGATAGCTATAGGTAAATAAATAAATAATAAATAGATAGATAGACGATAGAAAGATAGATACTAGACAAATAGATAGAGTAGATAGATAGGTAGACGGCAAAGCAGGATAGATAGATAGATAACATAGATAGAAGATAGATAGATAGATAGATAAGAAAATAGATATAGATAATAGATAGATAGATAGATTAGAAGATACGGTAACGTATAGTAATAATAGTATATAGTATATATATATATATATATATAATGATAGATAGATATAAGAATAGCATATAGACATAATTATACACAGATAGGGGCAGCTAGACAAATAGACATAATAGACAGATAGACAGATAGATAGATATACGGTAAATAAATAATAAATAAATCATAGATAGATAGATAGATAGATAGACAAATAGGATAGATAGATAAGATGATAGGTAGATAGATATAGAATAGACAGATTGAATAGGAAGATAGATAGATAAGATAGATAAGATAGATAGATAGGCTAGGTAGATATAGATAGATAGATAGACTAGATTAGATAGATAATAGATAATAGGATAGATAGATACGGTAAATAGATAGATAGATAGATAAGTAGATAGATAGATAGATAAACTAGCTAGATAGATAAGATAGAATAGATAGAGGTAGATAGATAGACTAGATAGATAATAATAGATAGATAGAGTAGTAGATATACATATAGACATAATTATATGACAAATGGGCACTTAGACAAATGCTCCCGAACCCAACACTAACTGTACACAGACTCGGCTATCTTATATATACAAGAACCCCAAATACCGTCTATGGTGTGGTGGCGATTTTACGCATTAATTACGTGGTACGGTAAAAAAACACGCCCCCCGGACCCCCCACTAGTTCCCTTCCCCCCTCCCCCTTCCCCTCCCCTTTTCCCTCCCCCTCCCCTCCCCCCTGTTTCAATTTCATCCTGGGGAGAACCCTGCGGGGGATACATGTAGTTGGCGACAACTGCCCTTTCTAGTTGGTCTTGGATGAAGCATACCTGCAAAATTCTTGGCAGCTGCTACATTTAAACTTGATGTCTGTATTATTGTTTTTTTTCCCTAGAATAAAAGCAGCCCATCGTACAGGAGAAGTGAATACAATGTCTACAGCACCTTCCAGAGCCACGAACCAGAATTTGACTACTTAAAAAGCTTAGAAATTGATGAGAAAATCAACAAAATAAAATGGTTGAAACGAAAGAACCCTGCTCACTTTCTATTGTCAACTAATGGTAAGTTGATTGCGTATACATCACTAAAGCCTAGCGCAGACTTGCGACTTTTGGTTGCTCGTCGCTGCAACCTGCAGCCGCACGCGATCGGTCGCACGCTTCACAGTGTGTGCACGCGCATGCAAGCAATTTCGGAGCGCTTGGGAGCGACGAGTTGCTGAAAATCAAACCAGTTTGATTTCTTGCAACTCGTTGCAAGCGACCAGAATCGCTACGAGTTACAGTTGCACGTTCCCGCAGACATGGCGATTTCACAGCAATTTCGACTGCGATTCTAGAATCGCAGCCGAGTTGCATGAAAAAGTCACAAGTCTGCGCTAGGCTTAAAGTTTAGCAACTCTTCTTCTGATAACATCCATAATCGTAATGCTGTACATAGCCTGTACATCACATCGTCTGCATCAGTCCATGCAGCTTTGCCGTGCTAAGGCTATGGCTACCTTCAGGTTGCCCTACTGCACTCTGCCTGCAAACTGCAGCAATAAATAATTTCGTCATTCATATGCTTTTTTTTTTAATCACACGTCATATCCATTATTTAAGGACATGAGAAGGAAAACCACACTGATCATCAGGGTTCACAATTAATACAAGTCTAAAGTCAACCAAAATTACAGCTTGTATTACTGAAATGTAAAGATCTTCTTTTCTGATGCATTCCTCAATTTGCTTCTAAGATACTTGGGGCCAGTTTCACAAAGCGTTATTAACTTTAATTATGATTAAATCACTAATCATAATTAACCTCCTGTAATTATGATTAGTTAATCATACTTAAAAATCTGTTTCACGAAGCGATTTAAGTACATATTTAACTAATCACACAATTAGCCGACTTAAACATGAATTACACTGTATTCAAAATGACGGACAAAGCCAAAAGTATCTGCAAATTCGGTACATGAAAAGGAATTAATTTGCAATTATAATGACTAGATTAGTACAGCTAATCTTAGAGAATTTAAATTACCTTGGGAAAAAATGAAGTAAAATTTCCAATTGTAAAATCTGCAGCGTACTTAATATACTAGTACTACCTACATGTATACTACTACTAGTACTAGCAACTAATTGTGATTAGTGGATTTAATCATGCTCCGGAGTAGAATTAAATATTGTGATTAACTTAATCATGATTAAAGTTAATTACGCTTCGTGAAACAGTCACTTCAATTTAAGTACGTGAAGTTAATCATGATTAAGGACTTAATTACGCTTTGTGAAACCATGTGATAGAAACCATGTAAATATATATATTATCTAGAGTGTATAAAGAAGGAGAGCGTACAACGGTAAAATGCTGAAACCATGTTGCAGTGTTAGTCGAATTAATAAACTTTCTCCGTTTTATTTTCAGTAACCGTTATAATTCTTTGCAGTATTATTGATCAGCTGTCTTACCTTGATAATATAAAACAAACCGTTCGATGCCGCTACGCTGAGATAATGAGCGGTGAAAATCTGGTATTTTCGCCGAGAAACGACTCAAGATCAGTGTTTACTGCAACTGTCTCTCGTTTTGTGGACTGTATACATGTTGCTTCTGGTCGCCGCTGTGTAGCGCTGACTCGATACGTTATTACTACAGCGTTACTACATCCAGCGTAAGGGGCGGGTCATCACCATGGCGATAAATGACAAGACGTTTTTGTGGAGTAATGGCTGCGTCAATGACTGGAAATGCGAGAAAAGATAGTAGAAGGAAAAGAAATTTTATTGTCAATGAATGACGGAAACACGCGAGGTTTCCCGAAGCTATCGCCAGAACGAGAGACAGTTGCAGTAAACACTGATCTCGAGTCGGTTTTCGGCGAAAATACCAGATTTTCACCGCTCATTATCTCAGCGTAGAGGCATCGTAGGGACAAGCAGTTTGTTTTATATTAGCAGGGTAGGACAGCTGATCAATAATACCACAAAGAATCGTCAAAATAAAACGGGCAAAGTTTATTAATTCGACTAATACTGCGGCATGGTTTCAGCATTTCACCGTTGTACGCTCTCCTTCTTTATACGCTCTTGATATTATTGTTACATGTTCTGTGAGAAAAAATCATAAGTTTAGTCAGACAACTTCAGTAACTGGGCCAGTTGGGCAACAGACTCCTTAAAATTGTTTTACTTTATTACAAACAATTACGAGTTGGATACACTGCTACATATTTTTGAAGTATCAGTGAACAATCTTCACGGTTGAGTAACAATGAACCCAGATAGACCTATCAGTGAACAGCGTGGGGATGTGAACGAATCGATCTGAACGTAGTGTCCTGATTTCAGATAAGACAATAAAGCTATGGAAGGTGTCCGAACGTGACAAAATGATCGAGGGCTATAACACGAAGGCCGACAACGGGATCATGCGACCGCCGGCCAGCGTGACCGCGCTGCGCGTTCCCCTCGTGAAGCCCATGGAGCTGATGGTGGAGGCTAGTCCACGGCGCGTGTTCGCGAACGCTCACACATATCACATCAACTCTATCTCGGTGAACAGCGACCAGGAGACGTACATGTCGGCCGATGACCTCAGGATCAATCTGTGGAATCTAGAGATAACGGACCAGAGTTTTAGTATCCTTCTGTATCTGCTGTGCGTGTCTGCATGCGTGCGTGTGTGTCTCCGTGCTAAATGGTAGGATAAATAATTGTTATGGTTTGGAATAGTTTATGTGTGGAGGGTGCTTGCATAATGGAATAGCTGAGAATGAAGGGTGTGAACCCATTTGTGTGTGTGTACATGTGTGTATGTCTGTGTATGCGATGTGTGTTAGAATAGGAATAGAAATGTGATTCTAAATGTAGTAACCAGGTTATTGTTATCAATCGGAGTACAAAAAGTCGTGCATTTCCTTCACCGGCATTGTGCAGATATTGTCGATATAAAGCCACAGAACATGGAAGAGCTAACAGAAGTGATAACGGCAGCAGAATTCCACCCCATCGACTGTAATTTATTTGTATATAGCTCTAGCAAAGGAACGATTAGGTTATGTGACATGCGCTCATCGGCTCTCTGTGATAAGCACGCCAAATGTGAGTACTTGCGTGACGACATTACATCATGTTTAAAGAAATTCCCCTGTTGAATATAAGTGTTTTGTGGGTTGAACTGCTGTGTAACAGATTGCAATGGCAGTCAACGTAAAAGCATCGATGCCTGATTGACTTTTATTGGCACAGTATTATCTATCGTAGGGTGCTAACAGCTTTCTTTATACAGAGAAAGTTGCAACGTGCGCGTGGTCTCGTGAAATATGTAGTTTATTGGTGTTGAGTCTCTGCGAGTGACGGTCCGCATGGCTCCTGGGAAACCTATAAAGTTCTGAAATTTTAATGTGAAATTTTCTAGTTCTGGAAACTCATGGAAATTGACCTCATGTTTATTGTGTCCACATTTTACCCACAATGCAGCAAAATGAAACGGAAGATAAAGGTTATTGGAAAAAATTTCAGGAGCGTTGCAAATGCATCAATACATTTGGCTTAATTTTATCCTGAACAAGAAAGAATCTTGAGAAATCTTGAGTCCTGGAAAGTCTGTTTACTATGAGTCTTACAAAAGTCATGTAAAGGTCTGCAAAAATTTGTTTGGTGTAAAAACGTTACAGTAGGGATTGCCTGATCAAACTTATCTGTGTATTGCATTTGCAGTGTTTCCACAAAAAGGCCTGAAAAGGCCTGAAAAAAATTCTTTTTGATGTAATAACGTAGGTATTGTCTCATCTGCTTATTGCGTTTTCAGTGTTTGAGGAACCGGAGGATCCGACCAATCGTAGCTTCTTTTCGGAGATCATCAGCAGCATATCTGACGTGAAGTTTAGCCACAGCGGTCGCTACATGATCACGCGAGACTACCTCTCCGTCAAGGTGTGGGATCTTAACATGGACACAAAGCCGGTGGAGTCTTATCAGGTGTGTGGCGTGTGATCGCTCAGTGGAAAGCGGCAGCAGGGTGCGAATTTAATGCGAGTCCGGAAGCAATTACTCCCTGATTTACTGTCGGACTCCCTGATTTGATATATATGCAGGTACGGGTCAGAATGTGTAATTCCTTGTATGCGAAAAATGCGTGGAGGAAAACCGAGACTCAAGCAACACAGCTCGAGGGAGTTGAGAAACCGAGGCTCAGAACTGTGGATGTTCGTGTAGTAATGTGGATGTGTAAGTCAAATGATGGTATTCCCTAGGAGTGTGTTGAATCATGCTTAAATGATGGCTTTGTTTTTTTTACTTTCAGGTGCATGAATACCTTCGAAGTAAATTGTGTTCGTTATACGAGAATGACTGCATTTTCGATAAGTTTGAAACCTGCTGGAATGGGGCAGATGGGTAAGCTTACTAAACGTGTGTACTGACAGTTAACTATTTTAAGCAGTCAACACATTGATGGATGGTATAGCCATATTCCTTAAAGCCTCACAATGCGCATCCAAACGCTAAAACTTCTCCAGTACTAGACTAGCAACTACTTTGTGGCATGCATAATCACACTACCTTATGACAAAATAAACTCTAGTTCCTCCCATTTGACTGCGCGTTCCCAACAAGAAAGAGGTGCGAAATCAGGTAATCAGGCGCCAACGCTAAATTGTTTCAAACAACATAGCATCGACTTGGTTTGGTGACGTCACATGTTGCTACAGGGTGTTGAGCAAGGAATTGTTTGTCCCGGGTAAACTGTTTGCATAGTGGCGACAGTGCATAAGATAGTTGTAGTATTGTGAACTGTAACATCTGTATATGTAACATCAAAGACTATTAAGAAAGTATTTATAGGCAGCGTAATAAACGTGAAAATAACGTATTGATTTTAGGCTTGATATCGCTAACAGCGCGAACATTGCGCTAGCAGCGTGCAAGCGAAAAACGCACACGGGCCGTAGAAATCTTTGCTACACCCGCTGGACGGTTGCCTTGCAGAGCAACGCAAACGTGTCAACAACATCGGAGAATTTGAACAACAGTGGAGATATTTTCAAATACCTTTTATAAGACAACGCGCAGTGAAATGGGAGGCACTAGAGTTTATTTTGTCATAAGGTAGTGTGATTATTCATGCCACGAAGTATTTGCTAGTCTAGTACTGTAGAAATTAGCGTTTGGATGCGCATTGTGAGGCTTTAACTAGCCTTTGTGCTAGGGACATCACCATGCAGTTGTTAATTTTTTTCACTGATGATGCAGTATGGCAATTTAAACTGGTATTGACTTGCAACGTTCGGTGGTGTCATTGTGAAGTGGCCAGGTACATATCATCTTGTAACCATAGCAACCAACATCTGTTACATGCATAATTGTTTATACATGGAAGTAACAGCATGCATTGGATAATGCTGATCAGAGTATATTTGGTTCCTCTTGCAGCCAAATAATGACAGGATCCTACAACAATTTCTTCCGTATCTTTGACCGAAACACGAAACGGGACATAACGCTAGAAGCTTCTAGAGAAAATGCCAAGCCGAAGGCTGTGCTTAAGCCAAGAAAGGTAATGTAGTAATAGCATTTGTGCTGAGGATTGATTCTAAATTTAGTTGTCTTGAATTGAACTTTACGTAAATGTATAAATGTTCCTCTAGTTGGATTCGTTACAACCAGGACTTGTTGACGACAGTTTACTGCAACTCTAATATGAGTTCAGCATTTTGTTTGGTTGTTTTGTTCAACTACAAGTTGACGCTTGTATGATTAAGAACGTCTTTACTCTAAATTGAATTGGAATCTATTTTTTGGACTGATAGTGTGTGTTTATTTAGCATTTATATGTATCCATGTGTATGGGTGTAGGTGTATGCGTGTGCGTAACTGCGTGTGTGTTTGCGTGCGTGTGTCCTGATGTTCGTACATGCATGTGTGCATGTGTCAAGGTGTGCCAAAAACAGATAGTCACACATGTTGTTCTTACAGGTGTGCACTGGTGGAAAGCGCAAAAAGGACGAGATCAGTGTTGACTGCTTAGACTTCAACAAAAAGATCTTGCACACAGCGTGGCACCCTACGGAGAACATCATTGCTGTCGCTGCCACCAATAACCTATACCTGTTCCAGGACAAAGTATAGCACCTCGTGCCACAAGGTAGCGTCACAGGTCGAGTACTCTCGAGCTTTGTCACGTCTACGGAGCGTGCAGGCGTTTGGTGTTAGACCGTGTGGACCCATCGCGTCACGTTCAGACCGGAGCGCTATGCCTGATGTCAACCTACGTGTGGTGACGATGTCGGAGCAGCTGCATTGCCGCCCCCATGATTGGTGGCTGCGGCATGTGTTAGGGGTGTCAACCTCCCAGTGGTTGTCAGCGCCCCATTAATTCTAACATCAGAAAACCATGTGCCGCGTGTTCGGGACCAGGCATTCTGCAATGCATTTACGACAGGAGCGTTGGCGTCCTGTGTGACCCAAGTGCAATCTCGTGGCGGCATACTTCATGCTTTCCGTTTCACGGTCAAGCAAAGCGCTTGCAGTCACCAGGCTGATAGTGGTGCTTCGTCCGATGTCACTAAGGCCGCATTGAGCGCACAGGAACCTACTCCCCCCCGTTGAGATTTGCGCCTTGTGATTTCGTCGACTGTTCAACGCAGGCTGCAAGGCGCCGGATATGACGTCTTTCGATATTGCCTAAGAGAGAGAGAACAAGGAAGCGAGTCGGGCGTTATATGTCCGCGGTTGTTTCTTGTAGGTTATACTCTTCCTGCACGAGACAGGAACAGATTGATATGCTTCAGGACACATGTTGCACATCCCCAGCTTCCATGCAGTAGTTGGACGATTTAGCACTTACAATGCGGAGTAGCTGGTACAGGTTTCCCTCATGAGAAACACCTGAAATTGTTTGCTGCAGATCTGCCACAGTGAGTGCTTTGTTGTTAGCCTTCTGGGCAGCTTCCAAATGAAATCCATATGCAGATTTATTATTTGTACTGCAGTGATACAGTCATTGTTACTTTGAATGTAAGATTGAGTAAAAAAAAAAGCTACACCGAAAGATGTATACATGTGCTGCTATATGCCAACTAGCACCGTACATGTTATCTGGCTACCAGCAGCGAGCTGTTGGCATTTCGTACACATTCCATCGTAATGTCTACCTGCGCACATACGGATGCGGTACCGGTGCGGTCACCCCCTAGCTTCACCGATCGGTTGCCCCGTAGGTAGTTCTGAGTAGTTTGCGACGGTTTGTCGCGGAAGCGTGATCACGGGTCGAAGTTAAATGTGCGTGTCGTCGTCGTCGGCGTCGGCAGCAGCAGTCTACTCCGTGTGCTGGCAGTTTACACACGGGGCGTGGTGCGAGCTCGCATGTCTCTGCTGCTATTCACTCGTGTTTCATTTGTGCAGTCGTGAATTGTGCAGTCATGGTAAAATTATGAAGTACTTGGCATCGGTGGTGTGTAATATGATGGTGATTGTGTGTTTGTGGCTTACTGCGATAATACATGTACTTGTGCGTTGTATGTGCCAAATGTTTAACCCGTAGGTGTCGTCTTCTAATTTTGTGTTTACGAAAGCAAATATCTCAAAATCTGAACAGTGTATATGTAACGAGAGTACACAATAGAGGTTTCCCCTTATTTTCACGTAAGTCTTTATTGTGTACTCTTGTTATGTATCGTCAACACCTGACCAGCTGCCGTGTGTGTATATGATCTAATACTTAAGCTGAATGTTGTATCCCACCTACCTGATAAACGTCATAAGTTGTAGCTGTTGCATGATGTCCATTGACATACTTTGCTTGCATCCCCATACTTTGCTATCATCTCAAGGTATGACCTACGCACGTGTGCTATTACATCGTATACCAGCAGCTGTTTGTGTAAGTGCGAAGATTCGTTTTCGATGTCTAGTGTGCCTTTTCCTGTTGTCTGTAGACTGATATGCTACCTTCGTTGTTACATATACCCAGTATGTCCAGGTATACTCGGAGTAGCGGCATGGTTCCACGTGGTGGCATATGGATGCAAAGTGCCACATCAAGTGTATAGGGTGATGACAACCTATAGCTGTTGGCTGCAGTGGATGTAAGACAGCATGCTCATTTGTACTTATCACTTCAAATTCTTATTGAAGCGATGCTAACTTCGTTTCATCGTTGGGCAACCTACCACTTGTGACACAGAGCTGTAATTGAATTTTGCTGCTCAGTGGCCATAAGGCTATATCTTCATCTTTCAAATGCTTCATGGCCCGTTGGATTTATTTAAGTTTTCGGCGAATTATGTTGCAGTTTCTAGTTCTAATTTACATGCAACTGTGTAACATCAACACAAATAGCACAGCTGGTAGCGTCAGATGGCTTAAGTATTAGCATGCCAAAAGCTGCACAGCCCTGGCTGAGCTAAGAGTAACATCTGTATGTCGGTCTTGAATAGGTGGTGGACGCCCACGGGATTTCGTCTGGGTCAGGTGCGGGTATAGGTGGATGGAACCAAGCTGGAAGCTACTCGTTGAAACTGAGGTGGGAAAAGATGTACTACAGCTGGAGCCGGTTGCAATCGATCGTCTGTGAATGTGTTGGTTCCGAGGCAATGCTTGTAAGGGCTGATTAAGTGAATGTCTACGGGTGTCACTGTGCGGGTTCGTGTGGAATGAATTCCAAAATAAGCCGATGTGTGTTGCGTGTGCGGTCAAATGAGATTGCCTACGAATGTATGGGGTTGAAAGAAGCGGCGGTACGCCTGTAGGTGGCGTGCGCATAGTATTTCCTAAGCTGCATGACGGAGTGTTGGGGAAGAGCAGTGCGTTTTCTTCCAGCGTGTTGCAGCATATGCATTCCTTACGGTGCGTTGCGCTGTTGACATTTTTGAGTTGTCGTATCGTATGTTGGTGGTAATCGTGTGTGCGTGCGTGCGTTCGTGCGCGTGAATGTGTTCGTACGTGCGTGGCTGTCTGGCTGCCTGCGTGTATACAAAGTAAAATGGACGAGAGCGTTATTTTTCCCAGTGATTTATCTACCCAAAGAGAATAGAAAAAAAATCTAGCAGTCGCTTGATTTCTGCCGAATGTAATTACTGCGTGGACAATTCATGAACAGATCGCTGGTCGCATTGAAGGTAAATCTGTGACACGGCCGTTCTCCTACTCAAACGTGGTGGACGGTCTAAATAATTATGTCTCATTGCTAAACAGATTTTTAATTTGTTCTAATGGGGGAGGTATTATTTGTCATTTGTGAGCCTTGTTCATGACGGCTTGCCATATGCTTCGTGCGCGTTTGTACAGTTATAACGTCTGGGAGTAGCAGTGCTGCCACCATGTGGTTGTTGGTTATAAAATTTGAAGATTATGAAAATGTGACCGATATACAAGCTGTTTATATTGAACCCTACCAAAATAAGGACGGGTTTGATGCATAAAATTATTGAAAGTAAAATTAATGTGTAAAAGTGATTTGTTTTTTTGTTTATTGTGTGTATCGTTTGATTTACAATGTGTAACCAGTAAAAATATATAAAAACCAAAACTCGCGCATTCCGTTTTCGTGTCGCTAGGACACCGATTGTATTGAAACAAATTGTGCGATGCCATTTGAACCAATGCGAGTAAGCGATATTTTTGTTTTAGAACTTGTCCACATTTGACGCACAAAAACGTTGAAATGCATAGCAAGCGCATTTTCAGCATCACGGTCATAGACTCGTATAGCTAGCGGCATGGGGAAAGATTGGGATTGCCCCTGAACTGCCCATGGTTAACTACCTAGAACACCAACCGCGCGTGGTTCCCCCCTCCCCCGCCACCAAGCAAAGTAATCTACGGCTCTGCTGAGAGGATAAATTATATGTAGTGACCTAATAGTAAAACAATAACGAAGACGCTTATATTTATGTACCATAGATTATATAAACACTAATAATGTCAGTGATAAATTAAGTCGATATTATATTATACGATTTAATCCACGCTGACAGAAAAATAGAAAAGATGCCCAATTAGCCAAATAAAGAGTAAGGAATAGTTTCTAAACCAGCTCAACTTGTCTCTTATAATGCTCATGGATGCAAAACAATTTTAGGGAAAAGCAGCACATTTATCACCTTACACAAATACATCAAGTTCTCTATATTATACACTTCTGATACAATTAATTATATACACGGTTGTTATGTAAATATTGTACTTTGTGTACTCAATTTTAAATCTAAATTCAATTTTATCATGAAATATCATGTCACCGGTACATTCCAGTATATAGCTCGAACGTACAAGTAAAACGAAATATTTAAACTTAAAAACTGCTTATTTTTACAATTAGAGAGTCACGTATGTATGTATCTATGGCCACTGAATCATCGGAAAACTTCCCACGTAACAATTTCTGCAATAAGTATTAGTGCCGGTAACGTAGAAACCCCACATTTAATTGCTTTATAATATGTAAGTAGCATGCCAGAACCACGGTAATTAGCTAGTATACTACATGACAGCGCCACACTGCGGGGATTGCAGTAACACCATCAAGGCTGATGTCGGTGATAACAACGCCATCTATCGTGTAATTACAGAGGCCAGTTGGCGAGGTGCGATAAGCGATTATCTCCTTTCACCGATGGGCATTTGGGCTGGCCTGTCGTCTCCGTCCCATCAATTGTCGCACCGACTCTGTCAACGCAGAAGCAGCGACCTACAACAAAGAAGAGGCAACTGAAACAGCAGCTGCGTGCGGTTCGGCTGTTGCGTAATCACGTCCTATTGAAGATAGCAGCAACACTCGCGGTCTCAACTACTGTATTTACCACGGCCGTAAACTGACAACAGCACATAATATCATGATAATATTGCTCTCGCGCGGATGAGAACGATAGCTGTTCTGGTCGATAATATGGCCAGGTGATCGCATAGGTACGTCACACCGTCTGAGCCTCTGCGTGTATCACAGGTGGCATGCAATGATGTAACAGTAGCCTTCCGCCAATAGTTCTCCAATGTTACGTTATTTCGTCTCTGGAAAAGACCTTCTTTGGATTTTTTTGCGGTATAATTCGGAACTAGCTAGACTGCGCTAATTTACATTATGGACGCAATTAAGGCAGAACCCTCGTTAACGTCTAGAAAGCATGAGAAGTAGTCTTGTCGTGTAATTGTGCTATTCCGTCCTAAAAGTGGCGTAGCAATATAGATCAATATAGTGACCGGTTCTTCATTTTGTATTTGAAATGGGATCCGACTACAGGCTGAAAATTCTCGAAAACAACCTGAAAAATGTTTCTGGAGTGTAGATTGGACATTGAATCTGTGGTCATCTAGCATGAATAAAGTGTATGTCACGCATGCGCCGAAATTATCCAAGTATTTTTAATTAATCTCTGTTCGATGTTTATTCAGGTTTACTGCTTATGGACGCCCTCTACTGCTGTGCACCACCGATATAGAACCCCAGTCCGTGGGGGATAATATCTGGCCACGGTAGGTAATATGAGCCACCCATTTATTTCCAACTATTTATTCCTACAGATCGAGGCTAACAGTGTGCCTGGAACTATTTGCGAATAACGATCCAAAAAGAAAACAATTCGATTGAACGAAATCATTATACTTTCTCTCGATATTAATTATGTCAATAGCTGAAAATACATTATTATTATTATTATTATTTATTGTTATTATTAATATTATTATACATTATCGGTATTATTAGCACTAATATGTTGTTGAAGCATTGCGATCGTTACCGTCATTCGTGCATTGTCCTGGTAGGTAATGTCCGTTGAACATGTTGCATTCCGGGATCCAGATATCAAACATGAGTACAGGCGGAGCGTTCAGACTCATCTCCCTGTGCATTTGGCATTTAGTCAGCTTGGATAAGTCATTAAGATGGAGCGCGAAGCCGTCGCGCGTCTTTGGTGAATCATGCAGCTCCGGTCTTGTAGAGTAAATAAACAACACGTTATTATGTTTATTAATTAAATCCATGGGTATACGTAAGTGTTTGAGTGTGTGCGTGTATGTGTGAGCGCTTGTGTATGCATATGTGTATGTGCGTGCGTGTGTGCGTGTACGTGTGTGTGTGTGTGTGTGTGGTGTGTGTGTGTGTGTGTGTGTGTGGGGGGTGTGTGGTCGTGGCGTGTGTGTGTGTGTGGTGTGTGCGCTGTGTGTGTGTGCTGGGTGGGCTGTGTGTGTGTGGGTGTGTGTGTGTGGTGTGTGTGTGTGTGTGTGTGTGTAGTGTGTGTGTGTGTGTGTGCTGTGTGTGTGTGTAGTGTGTGTGTTGTGTGGTGCATGGAGACAACGTAGTGGTATGCCAGGACAGTGCAACAAGCACCACGGCCGTGCTACGCACACGCTCGGCAATGCTGGTGCTCGTGTGTGTGTGTGTGTGTGTGGTGTGTGTATGTGTGTGTGTGGTGTGGTGGTGTGTGTGTGTGTGTGTGTTGTGTGTGAGGTGTGTGGTTTGTGTGTGTGCATGGAGACACGTATGGTATGCAGGACAGTGAACAACACACACGCGTGCACGCACACGCTCCAATGCTGCGGGCGCGCGAAATTGTGTTTACTCTTTACGGAGACAAATTTAATCAAGAGCTAATAATACATTTGAGGTGTTTTTAGTTCTATATATTATTAGTGGGCTGGTGTAGCTGGAACTACTACTGACTACGTATACTCACTAAGCTATACTGACTGTCTAGCTAACTAACTCGACTTACTACTACTACTACTACTATTACTACTGCTATACTGCTACTACTAAAATACTACTATGAAATTTACGCGCTCGGTGTTAAAGTCGATTCATCGATACAACGCAAACGCAACGAACCTTGCTTGTGTAAAGAATATAATATAAAGTATTTATTACCTAAAGTATATGATAGATAAATATGCGTACAAGTGGGAACGAATACAAGACATACCTAATATCCCCGGCTAGCGCCACACTTGCAACGAAAAGCAGCAACAGTACTTTTTCCATAGTTCCAACGTCTGCTGAACCTTGTCTTGCGGCACTTGCTTTGCTGTGACGAGCTCCACCTGGTCTGGTTGCTTGTTACGTCTGTGGTTCTATTCACGAGCGTAGCGGTATAAATACAGTCCAATTTGTCATCCGAATCGAATATAATCGTTGGCCTCTGATTTAGAATAGGCGATTGGTGGCTCTACTGTTATATGTGACGTAACACGTGCACAGGTCTTTCTATACCGCAGGATTAATGATTGCAGCTTCGTGCCAAGCTTTTCATCGGCTCTCCTCGTCTCGCAATTTCGTCCTATACTGGGTTGCCGTCTCTGAAAAGGTTTAATCTGTGACGTCGGCGCGGGAAAGATGATTAAGCACAGTGGCTTCCTTTAGCCGTCTTAGTAAAGCGATCTCATTGTTGATTGCTCGTTATGTGCATGTGCCGTGCGTGTTTACCTCAGCTGCCAAGGGAGACCAATTAATATGCAATCAGTCGCTAGTGTGATAATACGGCTGCGGCGTGATAATTGCTTACATTGTTAGGTCAACTACCACAATGCAGTGTTTCCTGCGTGGCAGACAAATTGGGAAGGAGCGTGTCAATATACGACACAGACTCTTCTAAAAAGCCTTTGTCGTTATATATCGCTAGCTAAACAGCAGTTAATTGAAACTATTTGTATACTTCGTCATTGGTTACGGCGCGGTCGACATTCTACTGCTCTCAAGCTCATCGCAATCAATCTATAATTCAATTGTGTATAAATATAATACGAACAATGATAATCAAAGTATAATAAAAAACCCAATGCACGTTTCACTTGAAAACTACCATTTATTTTGGAAACAGCGCACCTACATTTGTAAATTCTGTATTAAAATGGATTTCTCAGTGAATTTAATCGGGCTGAATTTGCATAGGATTATATGCGTCTTTTTATTCAGTTGCTCTGATGACGTCGAAGTTGATGATCGTGCTAAAGTGATCATCTAATGATAATTACAAATAAAATGCAGGAATTAAAGTATAATATTCTATAGCTATGCACATTCAGAAGATGATTGCTTGATTTTTATCAGTTAAGCTCTGGTAATGACTATATATGTGTGCCTGTCTATTCTAATGCAAGCGAATGCACAGGCCAGATTAACAAATAGATAGTATCGTAGAACGCCTTCGTAGAACGGCTCGAGTGAACTCAACTGACTTTAAACACTGATGCGATTTAAACGGATAGAGAACTACCTACTGATTTTATTTTACACTGCATGCTTACATCGGTAACATAAAGTCACCTAGTAACTACTAATAGAACAAAACTTCTCGGTCGCAATTGGCTAACCGGTAAACACATCGGAGACCTTTACGAGTTTTTCTCAGGGATCTTAACGACCACCTGTAAATGTAGGAAGTTATTGTAATTATATTTATTAAATTATTAATTAATTAAAGAATTTATATTATATAAAATTATATTTATTGTAAGGTAATTATTGTTCGGCATATTTTTACCCGATGAGTAATTAATGCTCAATTTACACGAATTCGTATTCTCTCATGAGATTACACATTTCTGCTACAATACTGTGGCGTCGGAGCAGCAGAGCTAGGTTTTGTATAGATAAAGTATATAGATTGATAATATATGATGGAGGTGCGTTTGCGTGTGGATGGAGGTTGAGTTTGTGTGTGTGCGTATGTGTGTGTGTGTGTGTGTGTGTGTGTGTGTGTGTGTGTGTGTGCGTGCGTGTGTGTGTGTGTGCGCGCGCGCGTGCGTGCGTGTGCGTGTGTGTTTAAATGCGCGTGCGCGCGGGAGTCTCTCTCCCCGCCCGCCAACCTACGAACACTTACCGTCTTGATCTCGCAGAACTCACGAATGCCGTCTTCGCCGCTGAAATAGCACAGGAAGAATCTCATGCTAACCATACAGCCATCAACAACTCCGAATTTACTTCACATGACACGTAATATAGTATTTTTGCCACTAACAGTACATGCTACGAGCAAATAGCTACGCCATTATGCCATGGGCACAGAGTCTGAAAAGATTAATGTACGATAATGGAACTATATGAACTTTGAACAAAGATTGCGTGAACGGAGTCGTTATGAAGAAATTAGTGTGAGAATGTAGTTTGGAGGAAATGCACATTGCTTACCCATCGCGGCCATTGCCCGACATTTTGAAACCGCCAAAAGGAGCTGCTGGGCTGACTGCGTTCCAGCAGTTTACCCTAAAGCAAGAGCGAAAAATCGTAGACAAATCTGCTAATCCAAAACAATTCACATGAACTGATTGTGATATTTGTTATATATCCGGTATATGGTATATGTATATATACTATATACGATACTATATAAATATATGATATAACGGTTGAAAATACTCAATTGTGGCATGTTCTGCATTAGAAAGATGAAGAGCATTGCCGCCATACCAGAATGAGCCAGACTGAACGCTATGGGCAACAGTCATGGCAGTATCGATGTTCTTGGTGAACACTGCGGCGCCCAAGCCATAATCGGTATTGTTGGCGCGCTTAATAACCTCATCGATGGTCTTGAACTTCAGAATCTGCTGGACGGGCCCAAATATCTGCAAAAGTACAAGATTCGAAGGGTACCTCGACTTCATTTAAGGGTTTACGCGTGCGAATGCAAAGGTTCGTCTATGGAGCCGAACAGAGAGCATTAACGCATAACCAGAGGTAACAGATTAAATATGATAATAAAACAACTTTGTTAAAATTAGAAAAACCGCTTGATAATTGGCCGCTTCTGTGACGAAATAGTTTTGTTCGGCTCATGATATTTTTTCCTGCTTTTTACTGGCCTGTACTGGCTATAAACTACCTAAGTATAACAGCAGTGTACTCAGTCTAACCTCATCTATAGCAATTCTCATTTCGTCAGTGACACCGGAGAATACTGTTGGCTCAATGAAGAAGCCCTTGTTTCCACGGCGACGGCCGCCACACTCGAGCTTGGCTCCCTGTTTCTTGCCAGTTTCAATCATGTTCAAGATGCTTTTGAATTGTCTCTCGTCGATCTGGGACAATTACAGCCTTAGATTATCTAGCAGCCAGCGCACGTAAGACGTCTCATAGAAATTTGGCGATGGCGTTATTTCACAGAAGTGCGTCCCTATCCCATAGCCGACATTGCAATAATCATGTCACCTTTCACACGACGATAACGACACGAATTACTAACATATATAATCGCGTATTTCAATAACGTACATACATCGTATTAGCGCCATATCGTATAATAAAGTAAAGTATAGTAAAGGCAAGTAGTAATACGGTAAAAAATTATTGTTAAGTGTTTTTTATTGAAAAAAACATATAAATAATAATAAGCATAATAATAATTATAATAAGCATATAATAGTTGGGTTCGCATATGCTTTAATATTATACGCGGCCATCTCTCCCTGAGTGAGAAATAACTCCAGTGCGTCGCTCGAATCTCCTCATCCTTCTCCGCGTACCTGCGGTCCGTTCTCGACCTCCTCCCACGGACTACCGACGGTCCTGCGCTTTGCCAGCTCAACACTCCTGCGCACGAACTCGTCGTAGATTTCCTCCTGTACGAAGGTGCGCGAGCCGGATACGCAGCACTGTCCCATGTTAAAGTAGACGGCCGCATGCGCCATCATGACGGTGTGATCCACTGCAGGAAATCGCAACTGCAAACACTCGCAGGTATGTGTCTGACGATTGCGACGAATGAGAGAGAGAGGCGAGTGTGGTAAATTGAGCGAAGGAGGAGGAAAATGGGAGGGTCTGCTTGGTCAGGGTGGGAGGGACACACAGAATAGGAAAAATAGGGATCATGCGGCGGTTGTCTAGATATGTTCACGTTACGCAAACTATAATAAAACCACGGTAGTTTTAAACTGTATATTTTGTGCATTGAACTGAGCATGATTTGTGTACGAATCAGTTTGCCACTTTGTTTTCACAAGTCGTGTCTGTGAAGTGTCCTGGTAACAATTCGAGCGCCTTCATAAATCGTATCTAGGTACGCATCGCGTGTTATTTTCTTACAATCAGCGTCGGCAAAGATGATCATGGGTGTCTTTCCTCCTAGTTCAAGGGCAACCTTTTTAAGGTTCGTGTTGCCCGAAGCGGATTGAATCATACGACCAACCTGTAACGATCCAGCTTGTTTGCTTCAGGTGCCATTACAGCTTACCATTACTGTTACTCTTTGTGGTAGCAAGCCGAGATTTACGCTTTGTGACCAATTTTCCGGTGAGCAATTTTTCACGTGACCAATAAAACAAATTAAAATATACAACATTAGGGAGTGAGGCATGATGATTATATAGACATCATGACCAAATAGGCATCGACTTTTACTTGATGAGTTAATGCCTCCATTGATTCTCAGGGAGGCAATACTATTGGCTGACTTACCCCTGTTGACCCAGTGAAGGTGATCTTGTCAACCTTCATGTGTTCCGAAAGGGCAGCACCAGCGGATCGGCCATAACCAGGTACAACGTTCAACACGCCTTCAGGGAATCCTGCCTACAAATGCGCAATAAAGTAGTCCGACTCAGAATTCTTAATCGTATATTGCATTTCGTTTAAAAAAAAATCTGTATAGGACATTGTATCCTAGATATGAAATAGAGATATATTCTAAATCTATGATCGTATCTCGATCAAGGTATTGACTTTAATCAAAAGCCCATAATATTATAGAACGATCAACGGCAAAACCCAAACTCGTGTAGTATTATATGTTGATGCTATATTGTAGCTGGGATCTGTGTATGCAAGGAGTATTCGTAAGAGATACTCATTCTGTACCCATGTATCCATGATATTTGTGTTTTCTTTAAACGCTTCTATACTTGCTTAAAGACATGTCTGTTTTCCACAAATTCGATTTAACGAATATTCTATCGAATTATTTCTATATTCTATCGATTCTAACCAAAGGTCCGCGCCTATGCAGTTACACAGCGCCTTAAGAGCGTATTAAAAAGGCCTTCTTAACCCTTCTACCTTCTCTCTACTCTTATCTCTAGCCTCTCTATCTTCTTAATACGCTCTTGTTATAACCGTACTGCTGGTGTATACATACAAACCTCCTTCACGAGAGCAGCCAAGTACAGTGCAGTTAGTGGCGTTTGCTCGGCGGGTTTTAGCACGACCGTGCAGCCAGCCGCCATCGCTGGAAAGATCTTCATGCCCGCAATGAGAAGCGGAAAGTTCCACTAAAAGCGGAAAGGCGCCGGTTGTAAACCAATAAGAATGTTGGGTTAAAAACCTTGTAATCCATATTAATGTATTAGAACTAAATTATTTATATTTATTTGTTTATTTATTAATACTATATTATTTTTATTTAATTTTGAATTAGTTATTCATTTATAATTTTATAAATACGTATATAAGTATTAATGTTTTATTATCGGAAATCTCAAGGCCCTTGCTCGCTGACCGAAATGCATTGCAACGCCGAGTGTGATATGTCGTCTACTGCCCCTTTCGTGCGTCCGGCTGCTTTATAAGTGTTGCGCCTGACTGATTGATATATATATATATATATGATCAGGAGTCTATCAATATTGATAGACTCCTGATATGATGTTGATGAAAGCTGTTGGCGCGCGTGCATACATTCTATTACGCATGCGCGCCTATGCGTGCGTGCGTGCGTGCGTGCTTGTGTGCGCGTGTGTACTTACTGGTGCTATCGCGCCCACGACACCTATCGGTTCAAGGCGAGTGTAACAGAAGTAATCGCCATCTGCAAAAGAACAAAGCCTCACATGTGCATGCAAGCAATCATCGTACATCCGCGCGCTACGATAGTTGTAGTTAGATGTGCTCATTGATATCGTCATTAATCTCTTCATCTCATCGCCTATACGCTGCTATGATGATAGCTCCCACCACGCCAATATAATAATATCAGGAGTGTATAATAATATATATTATTATTATAATTATTAATTAATAATAATATAAATTATTATAATAATAGATTATTATTAGTTCCACGGCTGCCCTGATAATATTCAGTGTTAACGTTAAGAGGTAAGGATAGATAGAGGAGGAGATAGGTGACGAGAGAGAGAGAGAGAGAGAGAGAGAGTGCGAGAGCGAGAGAAAAGAGAGAGAAAGAGAGGAGAGAAGAGAGAAAAAGAGGAAGAGAGAGAAGAGAGAGAGATGAGAGAGAGAGAGAGAGAAAAGAGAGAAAGAAAGAAAGAGAGAGAGAGAGAGAGACGAGAGAGAGAGAGAGAGAGAGAGAGAAGAGAGAGAGAGAGCATATAACGATATAGAAATCGATTCTAAAGATATATCTTCTAGTCTAGACTCCATGCAGCTGATAATATTAGTTTTACTGAGTGCTAAGTGTTTGGTTCAGTAATCTGAGCGGCACTCCAGAACAACTTACGCCACAGGATGGGTTTTGCCAGTTATTTGTCATGCACACAACCGGCGATAATAACGGCAACATGCTGCACTGAAAATTTTAACGGTTTATCATAGGAAGTTTCTGTATGGCATTGCCATTGTCCGCAGCGTTTGCATAGACTACACGCGTTGAAATTGAAAGAGAAAAGCCACACACACAACAGAACATTTCAAATTAAACACATGAGCGGTGAATGTTATGAATGGTAGCACACACTACACACGTGTTTACTTGACGCCACGCACGCACCGCACGCAAGCACGCAACACAGCGGGCACGACACGCACGCCACACACACTAGTCACAGCTACACACACACATCACACACACACACACACACTCACCACATACCACAACACACCACAGCACAACACACACACACAACACAGCACACACACCACACACACACGCCACACACAGCAGCACAGCACACCAACACACAACACATATATATATATATGATATATATATGTGTGGAGGCGAGATATACCTTGTAAACTGATAAACTAGTATATCCTATATAATATAATATAATATCTATATATATATATATGGGAGCGAGATATACCTATGTATAACTGCATGATATAATATATCAGAAAGTAGAAAATAATAGGAAACGCCCCCATATCTTCCACTAATCTCACCCTATCCCCTATCTTCCTATTATCTTACTTCTGATATAATATATATATATATGGAGCGAGATATAGCTATGTAACTACAAGTTGTATACATGTAAAATCGGTACTGTGGTAGTGTGTGTGTGTGTTGTGTGTGTGTGTGTGTGTGTGTGTGTGTGTGTGTGTGTGTGTGTGTTGTGTGTGTGTGTGTGTGTGTGTGTGTGTGTGTGTGTCGTGCGTGTGTGTGTGTGGGTGTAGGTGTGGGTGTGGGTGTGGGTGTGGGTGTGGGTGTGGGTGTGGTGTGGGTGTGGGTGTGGGGTGTGGGTGTGGTGTTGGGTGGGTGTGGGTGTGGGTGTGGGTGTGGGTGTGGGTGTGAGTGTGTGGGTTCTGGGTAGGGTGCCCTATATACAGAGAGTTGCGCCAACTCAGGATTTGACGCCATTGTTGGTTCTCCAGGAATGGATCAACACGCTGACCGCTTAAGTAGGGCAGGCGCTGTACTGCATGATACGACTGTACAATGGTGCGCGTATAAATTAATTAGACTAATCGTGCTCATAAAAACTCAAAAATTACAGACGATTTATAGCTAAGAACATGTGTCTATTTGCTCGCTAGATTTATAGAAAATGTAACTTAAAATCGTTCCGTGCCATATGATAGTACACTTTCTTAGAACGCCCAATAGCCGTGGGCGTATATTAGCCTGTGCGATACCGGCGCAACTGTAATTCCACAAGATAAATGCGTTCCACTCTCCACTTGCTGCGCAAAGGCTGTATATTTGTTTTTGGGCAAGTTCTATAAATCTAGCTCACATAGACAGCACTGTCTTAGCTAATAAATCTCTGTATATCTCTGACTTTTATTGGAAGCACGATTAGTGCTAATTTAATTACTACGGACTGAACATTGTACAGCGCTAATCATACAGCGCTGTACTAAGCGGACCAGCGGTGTGGATGCCATTTGGAAACAAACATGACGGCAGGTCGATCACGTGACGCGATATTTTCCGAGAACTCGTCATGGCGCAACTACCTGATTATACAGGGACCCGAGGTCTGGTGTGCGGTGTCAGGTGTGGGTGTGGGTAAATGTAGGTGTGGAGTGTGGGTGTAGGTGTGGTGTGGGTGTGGGTGTGGGTGTGGGTGTGGGTGTGGGTGTGGTGTGGTGTGCGTGTTTGTGGGTGTGGGTGTGGGGTAGGTGTAGGTGTAGAGTGTGGGTATGGTGGTGGGTGTGGGTGGTCAATGTGGGTGTGGGTGTGGGTGTGGGTGTGGTATGGGATGTGTGGGTGTGAGGGTGTGGGTGTGGTGTGGGTGTGGGTGTGGGTGTGGGTGTGGGTGTGGGTGTGGGTGGTGGGTGTGGGTGTGGGGTGGGTGTGGGTGTGGGTGTGGGTGTGGGTGTGGGTATGGGCGGCTGTGGGTGCTGGGTGCGTGGTGTGGGTGTGGATGTGCCCATGGGTGTGTGGGTAGTGGGCTGTTGGGGTGCGCGTGGAGGTGTGGGTGTGGTGTGGGTGTGGTGGTGTAGGGTGTGGGTGTGGCTATGGGAGTGTGGGTGTGGGTATGCGGTGCGCGTGCGTGTAGTGTGGGTGTGGTTGTAGGTGTGGGTATGGGTGTATGGGTGTGTGGGTGTGGGTGTGGGTGTGGGTGTTTGTGTGTGGGTGTAGGTGTAGGTGTGGGTATGGGTGTATGAGTGTGTGGGTGTGGGTGTGGGTGTAAGTGTAGGTGTGCATGGGTGTGGGTGTGGGTGTGGGTGTGGGTGCGCGTGTGTAGGACCTACTGCTAGTTGCACGCCATCTCGTTCTATCAGATCAGCTAGCTTGCTGAGCAGCTGTCCACGTGCTGATGCATCCATGCGTCGCCATGGTGACCCTAGCTCGAACGCGACCCGAGCAGCATCCACGGCCTTGTTGATATCAGCCTGTCAGAAATCGTGTTTGCTAGTCTTTAGATATACGCAAATATATACGAAACAACAATACAAACGAAAAACGCGGTTTAGAGGCTGTTGCTGAGAGAGCAAGCGCTGCGACGTACGGGACCTATGAAAGACAGCGTCATATGCAATGTAGGAATATTACGAGCTTATTTATGACCAGCGACAACAGATTTGCCGTTGCAATAAATAAAATGTAATTATCCTATAATTACGAGGCTAAATCAAATGGCGAAACTAACTATATATATACAGATTCGTCTGCTACATGACCTTGTTTTAGTTGTTATATGTGACACTCGACTACATGCCAGGTTTTAGCTGACAACATACCAGTTGTACGCAGCTTATCTGCTGCAGGTTTTAGCTAACATATATAACAGCTACAACATAATTGGTTTTAGGTTTGCATGGCACTCGACTACATTTTTACATGTTTTAACTCCTAAATAACAGGTACTAGACCCTAGCTTAGCTGCTGGAGGTTTTAGCTAACAACATAACAGGTGTTAAGTGTGTACGGCAGGTACACATACCAGGTCGCCCTCTTGGACATCGCAGATATGGTTCTCTGTGGACGGGTCGACTGTCGGAAAGGTTTTTCCACTTATAGAGTTGACCCACTCGTTGTTAATGAAGATCTTTATTGATAAAAAAGGAAATAAAAATGTGTCCATAAATATTAATTATAACGAAGTATTAATTACCGACTTGAAGGTCTTTCATGCCTGCCTGCGCTAGGAATTAACCTATGTAAGCTAGATTTAACTAGTTTTTTTAATAGAATTTATATAAAGTAAATGTGCATGCAGACGCCATAAACATGCAACGACTAACTATTGGATATTACAAAATAAAACCCGTTTATCACTGAATTACGTCTCGGCAATTGCCTCGCTAAAATAAAATTGTGTAATATTACACTATTTTATAGCAGACCCATTTTTATTTTTACAGTAAAGTCGTTTAGGGAAATCTATGAATACACGGTAAAGCATATTAAAATAGCTCACAGTCTCGAAAATTGAACAATGTAAATAGATCGAATAAAAAAATGAGCATTCACTTGGTTAACGCGTTTCGGGGTTTATGTATGTATAGGGCCTACAGTCAATCACAGTATAATGTTTGACCAGCTGGTGCCCAAAAATAACCAAGGTCATAGATTGTGTACACCAACCAATAGGCTATGGAAAACGAATGCAGCGGCATAGCGTTTTTAGGGAAATATATGCTTACTTATAGAACGATTTATTGGCGGTCTGAAAGAACATGCTGGTACATTCATCTCTCTGTATGAGATAGAATGATACACGTAGATATACGCCGATATGACGATGCTCCAGCGATTATCCCGATCTGTACGCTAGTAATCCCGACTTTTACCGACGAAATTACTCACTGCGCGCATGCATGCCCACCCTGAGCGTGATGAGTACGATGCATTGCAGCATCCATCATGAACTCCGCCGTAACATACCTCTATAACGACCGTATATCGATCAATTTATGCAGACGAATGCGCGGTTACCTAGCGCTTAATTGCGACATAGCGATTGCGTATCAGTCAGTACACAGGCACTTGAAGCGTTTCAATAAAATATAATGCTAAATAAATACGAAATCTACTTACTACCAAATTCTTATTTTAATGTTTCTATACTCTCTTTCACCTATTATTGCCGACAGTTTCCTGAAAATTCCGTCCAAATCCTCTATGTGCAACACACGCTGGCGGCGGCCATTGCTTACGCGGCTGCACCGTGCAGTGCACACTGACACTTATATATATAGTGTATATATATATATATATAGCATAGAATCATTAAGAGTTCTATGCATATGAGCATAGAAACATTAAGAATTTGGTAGTAAATAGATTTCGTATTTATTTCGCATTATATTTTATTGAAACGCTTCAAGTGCCTGTGTATCAGTAGCTTACCTGAGTGTACTTGATATCTGGATTCTTTATGGGCGGAGGCAGCGTTGAAGCCATGATGGTAAAGCAAGATGGTGATGAAATGCCACAAGGAGAATATGGTGCGCGCTCGGTTCACAAGAAGCAGCTGACAAGCGGAAGCTAGAATGTGTATATACTATAGCGTCCGTCGAGGGGGCACGTACTAAAGATAGCGAGAACGTTCCCAGCGTCCCTCGCCGATATATCAATACGCACGTAGACCCTGGTAACTACCACGGTGACTCAGCAAATATAATGAAAAGAACTAGTGCACCGTGACCATTTTCGTCATGGGGTCGCTCAATCTGTTCGGCACTTGAAAGCAGAGTACAAGGTCGACATAGATTTAGGCTTAACTCTATTGGTTCGCGCATATTACCAACTCGCGGAATACGCCGAATTCACGTCTAATTGGTTTGCTCATGAAAACGTTCAAATTAACATTCATTTGTTGGAGACGGGTTAGTGCGAAATGCCACGACGATAAAAGCCGCCATGCAGATCACGATAGATAAAATCGGTTGTTATATATCCACAATAATATTCATTTCAACATGTTTTTGTCATGCGTGCATTAAGTGTCTCCACACGAACACGCACACGCGCGCACGCGCGCACGCACGCACACGCTCGCACCCATGCACGCACGCACACACACATGCACGCACGCATCCACACATTATGGCTGAAGTACACGAATATTTAACTCACTAATATGTATTGTGGCATTTCCGTGAACCCTTTATCCGTACATAGCAGCTATGCCACAGTCTCAGATTCCCTCTGTGTGTTTACTGACGTTTTGAATTATCTCTCAAACGAAACACGCTTCATGGGATATTATATATATATATAAGTAAAGTCACACACGAAATCCCGTGTAGATAAAAACAAAGTCAAGGTATAGAATAAGGGTGTTTAAAGTTTAATTGACAAGCTTTCGAGATTACATCTCTTCATCAGGTCAGCAAACATTGGAATAGAATCAAATTACAAATCTCAAAAAATTCAAATACTATATCGCGTATTAACGATAATTAAAATATAATATGTATTCGCCGCGTTGCCATGTAATACGGACGACAAAAACACGCACATATATCATATATATCATATACATACATACACATAAACCACACACACCACACACACACACACTACCCACAACACACAACCCACACACTACACACCACAACCACTACAACACACACACACACACACAATCACTACACACACACACACACAACACACACGCACACACCACACGCACACGCACACGCACAGCGCTACACGCACACGCAATCACCGCACACGCACACGCTACTACCACATCACACAACACACCATTCACACACACCCACACACATACACCACACATCACACACACACACACTCGCTGTTATCGCTCAGACTAAGGCTCTTTAGTGGGCAACTTAATAGCGGGTCATCTTCATTTCATTGCGTGTTCGACGAACCGTTCCATTTCGCATTGATTGCTGGTCCAACAATGCCAATATTTACTATATCTGTGCTGAATTATCAAAACGCGCCTTCGCGGATATGGTTTGATTGAACACCTAAGAATACTATTCGCCTCAAATTTTGCATCGGTCTTTGCCGGTTTGTCTGTCACCATTTTTAACCAACCGCGATTTCACCACATTTTGATGACCGTGCGTTTTTGTCGGCCTGTCCATACTTGACAGCATTTTTACAACTATTTCTCTCGTCACACCATGATCTGAGCAGATAATTCATTCTGTAGGGTTGCGTTGTTTTGATCAGTTCGAGCATAATACGTAAAACTTTAATTACGTGTGATTTTTGAGTCTTATTGACGTCGTTTGTTGTGTGTGTGTGTGCTGTGTGTGTGCGTGTGGTGTGTGTGTTGTGTGTGTGTGTTCCTTTCGGAGCTAGCTGTGCTGTGCGTGTGTGCGGCCTGGCGTGCGTGGTAGTTGTGGATGTGTGTTGTGTGTGTGTGTGGTGGCGTGCAGTTGCGCTGCGTGCGTGCGTGCCATGTGCTGTGTAGATGTGTGTGTGTGTGCTGTGTGCTGTGTGACGTATGTGTGTGTGTGTGTGTGTGTGTGTGTGGTGTGTGTGTATTTTCACTGTGCGATGTGCTGTATATTATATATCTCGTGGCGTGTTCTTTTTGTCAGTCCGTATTCATGGCCAACGCGATCCGCGCACCTTGTTGTGATCATTTCCTTTATTTGATACTCGATAACGCATTGTATTTGTTTTTGATTATTTGTTCGATTACAATGTCTTGGCCTGACCTGATGAAGAGATGGTAATTCTCGAAGCTTGTCAATTAAACTGTTAAACCACTTATTCATATACCTTGAACTTGTGTTTATATATATATATATATATATATATATACTTATATACTATGTATACTAGTTTATTATCGAAAACTCCTTGTTCTATTCGGCCAGAATGGTTGACTACTCTTCCGCGTTGCATTTGTAGCCGGGCGGCACTCACAAATTTTAGGCCGAAGATAGCCTACCCCGGCTGTGCCTAAGGCGAAGGGCCTACCTTTTACGGTCAAAACAGTGCTTTTTACGTTGCAAAATCCACTGTTCCCCTGTTTCGCACAAAAAGTTTCATAAAAATTAATTGTAAAGTATTTCGAGCCAAAATGATATCATTTATATGTTCGACCTTGCAAAGGAATTCAGCTGGTGTTCGTTGCTAATTTGCAAAGTAACTCAATGTTAACTTCTATAGGGAATTTTGCTTTGTATAATAGCCAATGGAAAAATGCACCCCCTTTCCAATGTTGATACCACGCCCAGTGCTTCCGACCAGCCCGCACACGGTCGCGCCGACCCCCCCGCCCCTCCCCCCCCCCCCCCCTCGCTCCCATCACGACCCTACAAGCGCCCAGCCTATCAGGACAGACCTTTCCTTCGCGCGCGATTTCGTCCGGCCTCACCCTCCGGCTATCCATTACCGCGTCCCGGCCACTAGACTCGGCGCACTTCGCCGTTACTAGTCCCTGCAGCCTCCCGTCCTCGATATCTCGCCCCGCATCTCCTCCTTGCTGGAACTCCTGATAAAGTTAACCATGGAACCCACGTCTGCCTCCTGATATTCAGTGATTATTTTCTCACTTATGAAATGTCCCTTCGCTGCACTCATGTCTTTGCCGTGTGTGCCTCTGTTGTGCGTGCGTGGCGTAGGTGCGTGTGCGTGTGCGTCGTGCGTGTGGTTGTGCGTCGTGCGTGTGTGTGTGTGTGTGTGTGTGTGTGTATGTGTGTGTGGAGATATTGTTAGTCTATGGTGCCAGCTCTCCCTTAGACTTTTTACTCTCTCGTGATATATACTGTCAACTGCGATTAGCGTCGTCGCGCCATCTGTTGGCTGATATGGTTTACAATAGGTATACACACATTTGAATGTTTTACCCTCTACGTTCGAACTTGGTTCGAACAACGTACAACGGATAGAAAGTAGAACAGTAGGCAGTCAATTTAGTTAAACAATTTCAATTATATGTATATATGCATTTAGCAGTATAAATTTCCCATTTTTATTTAGAATATTGCGTGATATACATTTACATACATTTTGATAGTTGGACATATCACACTGTGATTGGTTTATAACATTCTTGCGCTTAAATCGCTTAAGCTTTTCTCCGTAAGATTGTCACACGTGTGTCAGAGTCAAGCAATGTGTAGATCGTGTATTTATATAGAAAAAAGTCCCCATTTAAAGCAGGCAGAGTTCATTGAGATACTGCTATAGGCACTTTCGTAGATATTATATATAAGCACGGACGTGTTCTGCAGGTCAGACGTCCATAGTCACTGCCATTCATGACTTCTATTTTGATAGCACGCTGCTTTCTCTTCGATTAGTACGCTGTTTCATTGTCCGCGAATGTTAACTTTTTCGCTGCGAATCGCCTTTTCACTTTTACGAGATCATCGCCGCGTATCTAGTAATCGTGTAACAAAGATGCGCATGCGCTGTTGGTGTTCATCAGCAGTGGAGCACATCCACTGTTCATTCATACGTGCGTTGATGCACTTCCGCGTTTCTGCCTTTATAAGCCCAAAATGACGCTCTGTATTCATAGACTAATTGCTTGATTTGCTAGATGGCTTTGCATTGCGCACTCATACGGGATCAACCATGGTGACTTACAGTATCAAGCTGCTCTATCGTGCTTTCGTGTTGTATACTACTGTGCTTTTACTTCCCCGAACCGAAATATATTGCAGTTGAGATATTCTAATGCGGCTGCGAATATTATCAATCATTATATGTAATATAGTCCGAGGAATAACATTCCAAATTCATGCACAGCTGCGTTGTGAAATACTAAATGTTCATCGCTAAAAGGATACGGTGGCCGTAACAGTCTACCCACGCGACGGCAATTGAGCATAATATATATAATCAAGATTCCATAATAGATTTTTTTTTAATAGATAATTTTCTATTATGGATTCTTAATATAATACAAATAAGTTGAAGGATAATCAGACTGTATATACTGACTGACATTCTGGTCTCTCGCGCTTAAATACTAAACTATATTATACCCTAACTATACTAATACTAAACTAGTAAGCAGACAAGCTACACAACAACACGTATGAAATTTATTACTGAGATGAGGAATGGCTGACATCGACACAGGTCTTACGTTATTAACTTGAACACCATTATACAAATCTTAAACCGCTTCCGAACTAACTATTACCGCGATTACGTAATATACAGTCACGCTATATAGACACAGGATTACTAATAAATTGAAACGTATCCGCAAACCGTCAGAAATTAGGGCGTGAGGGTGCGTATATCGAATCGCCGACAAGCGTTGGGATAGTTCTTAGTCGTACACACCTGTAAACACGTCATTAGTACCTGACTTATCAACACTCTAATAAACAGTAACAGCGCGCTCGGGCATGTATGTATGCGTATATCTAATATATATATATAATATATATAATATATATAATAAATATATATAATATATAGAGAGAAGAGAGAGAGAGAGATGAGAGAAGAGAGAAGAGACGAGGAAGAGAGAGAGAGAGAGAGAGAGAGGAGAGAGAGAGAGAGAGAGAAGAGAGAGAGAGCGAGAGAGAGACAGAGCGCGACAGCGCGCGAGAGAGAGAGCGAAGAGATAAGAGAAGAGAGAGATAACTGGTACGGCAAACCACTCTGAATAGAATTGCTTACAGTGTTTGTTGATGGGAGGTCAACCTGGAAAACAGCTCCCGCTATATCAATGACGGAGCATCACGACCAGGAAGTCGTACCTAGGAATGTTCGTCGCTCATAGCACTTACACTTGCGACACTCTCTGTATTCAATTATACCACATTTACAGGCAAAGAAGTAATGGACGGCTTACTTTGACCGAATTACCTTTATTAGTAGATTCATTATGATTGGTAAGTGTACTAAACTCACTGTTGTTTGCGCAATACTACGCATCGAATTTCAATGTAAAATGCAATTTCTATCGTTATTAGCTATCATTCTATAAATTGCATTAAGCCTATAGCATATATATATATATATATAATATATATATATATATAATATAGGTATACCCATATTAGCGCACACCCTATTGTAAAATTACGAGATTGTTAATTGTCCGTAATAACCATGATTTCTCTACACTTTACTCAGAGGTAAGAGTTGTCTTTTATAATACAACATCGCTAGCAGTGTCTGTAAAACCCTGTTGTCAGTTCATATGGGACAGGATTGTCCAAACGCTTGACAGTGGCACGGTTCAGCCCGAGCAGCATTTATATATATATATGACATAGAGCCGTAGATCAATCTCACTACTTTGATAAAACAACAACTCTTTCTATGAGCATCGCAGATGAAATTCGCATTCACAATTACACTTAAAACCACCATAATAGTATAATAACCAATATTAACCATAATTAACCATATTACACCATATTTACTTAGACAATGACATTATAGTCCAGTTACGGACATTAGAGCGATAACATTTCGAACACTATCTTATACTCATAGAAATGGCATAGCACAGATGTAATGCCAATTATGTTCAGGTTAATTAAACGAGTAATGTTATAGCGCTGTATGACATAAATAAAGAAATAAAAATGCTCATAAATAGCAGGGATTTCAACCGGGACATTTCCCATGGAGTCCCCAATGGATTCACTATATGTTTCAGTAACATGTGTCATTTTAAGCTGAGCTCATGTTGCATACGACGACGACCGACAGACAGACAGACATACAGACAAACAACAGACAAATACACAGACCGGACGCACCGCACGCCACAACATCACAATACGTATATATATAACACGTACGCACACAAACACGCAGCACACACACCACGCACTCACACAACACACAACACACACACACACACAACACACACACACACAACACACCACACACACACACGACACACCACACAACACATACACAACTCCGGATCCAACGGCATGCATACAGACGTTTCCCACTACAGTGTCACTACATATACCGTAAGCAAGCAAGTTGCCCCTCATGTACATATACGTGCTCTCGGCGAGGAAAGTAAGCCAGTGGGTTAGCATTAAGACGTGAAGCGTTACAACAAGACCACCGTACCGGGAGGTGATTACGTGTCTGCATGCGAATCCGGTTGAAGTTCGCTTGTAATGGGCGCCCCTAGCAACGCGTGCACGCTCAACGCGCCCGTTAAATGCATAGTACGACCTGCTGTAATTAAATGTTAAAACGATATCGTACGGCAGGAGTCCGAGAACACACACGCGTCGCAGACACACACTTTTACCACACTTGCTATACACGTACACGCAGTAAGTCTATCTTACACACACGCGAACGTACACAGACACAAATACGTGCATGGTTCCTGGCCGGTGCACCCCGGGAGAGCGCGATTGCAGCTCGCGAACAAGTGAAACTATCGCGATGAAAAGGAAACAATGCTGATTTTGGCCGCGGTCCCGTGCGCACTGTCGCCCGCGTTAAGTGGAGCATGGGTCGCGCAGGTACTACCAAGCGTTGTGTTCGTTGATCGTCTCTGTCGAAGGGGAGGCGACACGGTGTGTGCAGATGACCCAGAAAGAAATCACGCGCGCGCGCGAGAAGGCAGTGCAGCACCGCCGGTTCTCTTCATCAGCCGCACGGGGAGTCCCTCTGTGCTTATGCGTTATAGTTCGCTCTACCGTTAGGCGGGCGTAGATCTCTGGAGGAACGTCGCGTGGGGACGGATGAAGCGGTAAGCTTGCATCGTTGGGTATTCCCGCCGTGAGAACCCGCAGCGTTGCAATTCGTGAGGTTGTCGCCATCGCAGTACGACACGTCCGTCACCGCGGCAACCCAGCGCTCACCGCTCGGTGGAAAATCCGTAGATCGGCCTCTCGTTGAAAAGCGCGTTTATACAACCCCCGCGTGACCCATAGCAGCAGCAACAGCCGGACCTGCAGAGACACGAGTGTTGTGCAAGATTGCTTCACTCGGGGCAGGAGGGTTCGGTTGACGATGACAGAATAACGTGAATGTTCGCCCACCCTGATGCGCGCAGGAACGCACATCTCTGAATAGCGTAGCGAGTCCGTGAAGTCGAACTGCCGAATGTCACGCTAAGCGTTCGCTACACCTGTGACCGGACGTTCACCTGCGAGAGAGATGCTCTCGCACGTGCCCAGCCTCCGTTACGGATGCCTTTGGATTACATTACTATTCATCTCCGGTGCAAGCTGCTACCCTCCTGGACCGATCCAAGCTCGCTTGGTGAGTACGTGTACGTGACATCGTAGAACGATGGTGACGTTGAAAAGGTCAACGAGGTATTGGGCCGTGATAGTCATTTACTAAGTTCTTGCTAGATGATTAGCAAGCCAACTAATAGCCAAGATCGAAATCAGGAAGTGAATGCCCGAAACTCGATTTAGTCAAAGAGGTTCTGTATGACACGTTTCCGATGGGGGGAAGTAACTAGACCAGCTTCTTCGCTTTCGGACGACAATATACATCAATCTAGAATAAAATGCAAGCGAGGAATCACGCGGTGTGTTCGTGCAACACGATATTACAGCAGTGATTATACTCTCATCATTTATGATTGAATAATATATTATATTATATGCGCGAAGAACGTATTTAAGGACAGTGAACGCGACCGGCATACTATGTAAATGAGTCAGCCTAGGCTCATGACCACGGTGGATAATGACCACGCGGTACCGTTATAATTACCACGGTGAACTCGACCGGCATACTAACAGCTAGGGGTTAATAATGACAAATTGTCATTAATTTGTCATTATTAGCCCCTGATACTATGTAAATGGGTCTAACCTAGACTCATGACCACGGTGAATAGTAACCACGGTGAGTGGGACGTGTGGAGCTAATAGCCATGCAAAACACGGACGTGCTCCAATCTGCATGCTTGGTATAGCAAGTGAAGTGAAAGAGAGTGCGTGCACGCTTACATCGACTTAAGTACATTACTAGCTCTCGGGCTTTTCTTTTAGGTTCGAAAAATTACTCTATAATGCATAATAAAAGCACAAGTGTTCGTTCTCCTTTGTGTTACTTTTAAATGCAACACCACCGTCGAAACGAAAGCTGAAGTCACGACGACAGAGTATGAGCCCATTTCAGTAGTTCGGGTTAACACCGCCAGAGCGGCAATATATGGGTATATGCGACCACGCGCACTGGTTTATATAAATGAAACTCTTTGTTGGTATTCCATTTCTTAACGCTGTTATAAGCAATTATAAATACTTCGAATTCATACTTAAATCCAACAGATTATAGTGTTTTTATGTCGTATCAAAATTTTGGTCTGCATTCAACGGCGTAGCTTAGTAATATAGGTGTGCGCGCGGTAACTATATGGAAACATTTAATCATCTATCTGTCGATTTTCATTGGGATTAGTTTATTTTAAAAGAAAATAGCTCAATGTGAAGTACAATTTATTTGTGAAAACAGTGTTTTTTAATGTTTTCGTAATATGTTAATGCAATGTAACTGCGCGACTTTCCCAACATTTCGGAATTATCTGCATTGACTTGAAATGATTCGTTTATCATATCGTAATAATCAAAACCGCGTCATCTTTACAGACACAAGGGAACTCTATAATAAAACAAATGTCAAAATGCATTAAAATTACTCATTACGAACGAAATTATCGAAATAAACTAACAAATCTAAATGTGCTTTTATTATAGTCGATGTATTCATTATCGGTGATAATAATGAATTCTGCTTTGCTGAATTGCAGGCCACGCGGGGTTCCCGCGTGGGGGCGCTACAGTTTCGTCAGGGAATCGTAAAGGAAAAGTACGACAATCAGGAGAAAAGGAGAATTTCCAATATTATGGGCGAGATCGAGGCTATACTAGACGACAAGCATGGTCTACGGAGCAGCAATGACTCGAACGATGTACGAAACTGCTACGTCGTAACGTCACGAACATCTCTGAGTGTGTACTCATGTACCCTACCTACACGGTGCATATCTAACTCATGTACCTACCTACACGGTGCATACCTAACTCATGTA